ACCCAGATAAAAATTAACACACTGTCTCCCGCTGAAGGAACCATTTGTAATTGTGAAGCAGCGGACGCTGACGCTTACACTGGTGGCGACGTTGACGCTGGCGATCATCGCGGCTTTGCGCACGAGAGAAACTTGGGGAGGCGCAAAGAACTTGGTGGTAGACCGGTGCTTCCTACTGGAACATGCCAGTCGCGACTAATGGGCAATGAGAGACAGAAGACTCCGATTGGACAGACACAACCGCAGTGCGTTTTTAGTTAATGCACAGGCAACGAATTTTCACTGCTCAACAACGCACAGGAGGAATGTCCCATCGGCACTACCTTGGAGGTCAAGATCCAGTGTAGATATATACAGAGTTGGCAGTGAGCTGTTGTGCGGTTTGAGCAGTCCGCTTTTTTTTTTTCAAGAAACTCATTAGCAGACACTCTCTACGGCGGCTTTGCGAGGCAAAAGAGGGGGTGAGCGTAAGAGAGAAGAGAGAGGAAGGGATGCGCTTGCACAGTAAGGTTGGTCACTCCACACGGAAACCTGATTAACCTAGACCATGAGGTGTTGCGCAATATGAAATACGTGAGCGATTGTTGAAGACGTCCTGACGGTGAGGGCTTGTAATGGTTCAGCCACCTTTCTCTTGTGCTGATTGCACATGGATTCACCTGTGTGAAGGCGGCACGTTTAATGTGAGGTGATTGTCACTTTTTCCTTGTACAGATGCATATTCTAGCTTCTAACAATAAACGTTCCGTTGCAAGTTACAGCTCGTACCATTGTCTTCCTCGTTCGTGTCTTCCATCACTGCTACACTTTTTGATGAACTAACCAGATAGCCCTAATGTAACCTTGACGAATAGTATGTGACAGCGAATTGCAATTTGCCAAGCTCTACTCTCTTACTTTTTATTCTACTTTATGTCCAGTGGAGTTAATGTAAATACTTATAACCATATAGTGAACAACAATGGGGTTATGAAACCTTCTTGTCGAACTCCAACAAGCATAAAACCCTTGGGAAGATGGGATAAATTATTTCCTCGAAAATGCATTCATAATATACATTCCTTCTGGAGCTCCGCTTTGAAATATAACATCAGACACTTTTACAGTTAATATCTAGCCAACAACTACAATAATAAACAATTGCAATTTAAATGCGAAAGCGTTAGGAGAAAATGACATGGTGGCATCGACCTGGCGAATACAAAGAATAAAACAGGTTCCCATCAGGAACGAAACGCAAACAATCTGCGTGGCAAGCAAGTATTCTATCGCAGAGCAGTACCAGGTCTTGAAGGGCTTTTGAAAGAGACTCAATGCAGGCCTCATGCTAGGAACACGACATTGGTGGTTTCAGTGGTGGCTGTCTCATTTTGTATATTTTACATTTTTACTACCATTACAATGGCGTCACGTTGGGTTAAAGTCTATTTTAGGTAAGCTTCATTCACTGTAGTTCGTCTACGTAGCACCACTTCTGGCTGCCTCGCTCTAAAGCACAAGCGCTACGTATAAGCTATACCATTTGTAGTTTTGGTAATACCCTCTTTGCTGTTGGCATTGTTATGCAGCCGTTGAGCATTGAATTTATAAAGCATATGCGACTTTTGAACCTATGCCAGTGCTTACAGCATATGTATACACGTTTAGAGTCATTTCGAAAAGTTTCGCTTAGCAAGCTTATACCTCAGTCACCTCCTCTGCACGTGCTTCGGTTAACATCGATTTCATCGATACGTGGGATTTCCTGAATTTTTATTTCTCTTCTATTGACGTTACTAGCACTTAGTTAAAAGGTGGTACGCAGATGTGATTAGCTTCCCGAATACTCTTCGCAAGGGTCCTATGAGGTTGAACAAAAATTCTCGGTCACAGTCTCATAGAATTGGCGAAGTTTAAGTCATTTCATAGACAGCAAAGCAAATGGTGTTAGAATACTATAACGCGAAGTTCCATTCGGAAATTATCTGCATATGAGATATGCTGAAAGACCACCCTCTTTCAAACGTTTATTTCGACCCCCTCCCTCATAGCGAAGGTGTCCAAGTCCTTAGATTAATTTCTTTTTCACAGCGGCCCACCAGCTGAGCGACGAATATTGAGACCCCTTTATTAGAATGAAGCTTCTTAGTTGCGTTTATTGACGATTGATATGTGAGATTTAACGTCCCGGAACCACCTTATGATTATGAGAGACGCCGTAGTGGAGGCCTCCGGAAATTTTGACCACCTGGGGTTCTTTAACGTGCACCCAAATCTCAGCACACGGGCCTACATTTCCGCCTTCATCGGAAATGCAGCCGCTGCAGCCAGGATTTCAACCCGCGACCTTCGGGTCTTCTTAGTTGCGTACCCCACGTGCGTTGAAACAATTTGAATGAATAAGCTTGCTATCGTATGGATTACGCAAGTGGCAAGTTTGCATAATGAACGTTAAGATAAGCTTTTGCACGTGTGCCTTATACGTCAGTGCTGCTTCTAAAAGGCCTAAATGTTCCTCAAAAGTCTTGCTCCTCGAAATTCGTATCCCTGACTGCAAGAACGACTGGAACCTACAAAATTTAGGGTAACGCGATTTAGGGTGCCTTCTTCGTATGTATATATCTTTGTGTCATCAGTCATAGCCCTACTGATGGAGAAGGGAGGTAAGTAGCCCCCTAATCTCATGATAAGGGGGTGCGAGATACAATCTTCCTCATAGCACTGCGGAGTCGCACCTGCTCGGCCATTGTTTTAAGAGCATGGTTGATGCCGCGCCGGCGTATGACAATGGTTGCGGCTGAGGGCACTTGAAAGCTTGTTCCAAGACCTGTTTACTTGCAGCTTCACTTCCTGAATCCCAGGAACCGAACAAAGGCTATTGTGAGAAGCATGTCATTGCTTGCCTCATGTTGTGTTTTATTGCGAAGCATGTTGTCTCTTGGGTGGCGCCAAGAGGGGAGGAGGGTGGACAGCACTGTAATAAAGCTTTGCGTATCCGTTAAGCTGTGAATGCCAATATTTAAGCTGTGAATGCCAATATTTATTGGTACTTTCGCACGCTTTCTAAGGTGTTATTGGCGCGCTTCTTCAGCACACTCATGCAAAAATGCTCATATTCGAGAGCATACCTCGATGCTTGATTTTTTTTATTTATGCACCCGGCCTTCCACATTCGTAACCACTGCTCGGCGGGGGCCGCAACAAAACTTTCATCAGGGTTGAAGACTCTTCTGATAAGATAAAGAGCACATGGTAACAGTTGAGTTTATCCTTAAAATAACACAGCCACCAACAATAATTGTAGAATTCGTCATCCTCCATGCATAAAAACCGAAAGGTTGCGCTAAAGATCACATCATTCGGCGACTCACGGCCATATACTCGTTGTTGGTGCACCACTACTGTGACTCACATCTACAGGGAGTTCTGTTCAATTTCCTGGGGACAAGCTCACTCAAAAAAAGCTTTATCTTTCCCAGTTGGTGTTCTGCGCGCATCAGCGCCTTAAAATAAAGAGAGTACCAAGCAAACAGCCACCCGGTTATCTTCTAAATGGAACCGTGACAAGCCGTCAGTGTGCTAACTGGATCAGCTTCAGCTAGTCCAGGTGACTGCTTCTAATTCACGTTGCACATTTCCTTCTGCCTTCTCAAAAATACCTAAAAAATAAACTTCAGGTATTTGCATGAAAGTCGTGATGGTATTATGAGTGCCTGGAAGTGTTGTTATTTTCCTCCGTACGCCTGAAGCCCCTACCATTTTAGAGGTGAAGCTCCTTATCGTTTAGGGCAGTCCATATTTACCGCGTAGCCAGCATGAAATATCCACTGGCAGACAGACCAACAGACAACGGACGAACGGACGGACGGATGGATGGATGCTTCGCCCGATCCACCACCATTCACTCCGTGGATAAGCTGTGGTTTTTTCATCACACCCTTGGCTTCTTTAGCCCCTGCAACACTAATAATTTTTGCAATTTTCCAAACTGATGACATATTCATTCCTCGAAACGTTTTCTGTCGAAGCGTATCAGAATATTCAAGCTTGAACGCGTTCATTCAGTTAAACCACCTCGCATCGCGAAAAGCTGTTTGCCTGAGCCAGCATTTGCGATCGGCGAGCCGCGGTTTAAAAGTCGTGGTCAATCTCAACAGTCTTCTGCTGAAATGCCATATGAAAGCTGGGGAATTATAGCATCCACATCTTTTTCAAATATGTGCAAGTACAGCCAATATGCGGGCTAGTTAGAACGTATTCATTCTTCCTGAAGTACACAAGGATGATTATGTTGACGTGTGTCGCTGTGTATATTTGTCTCCTTTGAATAAATCATTAGTTTATGGGTGAGCGCTTGTCCTGCGTTTTCTGCCGGGAGTTGTGTGGACAAGGGCATGTTCTTTAGCTTGTTGGTAATTGCTAATAACAAGTGTAACAAAAAAGAACAAGAAAGACGCGGAAACACACAGCACAAGTGAAGAGAAGCTTGTTGCCATGTTGTGGGCATTCCGAAATTTGGTGCTTCAAACATTATCAATTACATTGTACGTTCATGATGTTCTCAGTTGTTAATTTGCTCAGTTACTTTTTCTCATGGGTGAAAACTACGGTATTCAGCAGTTATGTGTTGATGGAGTTACGGCTCTATGTACGTGCTTTATCACGTCAGGTAGCACAGTCATCTGCATCTCCATGCTCTTTACGAATACTCATCGCGGACAAATAATCAAAGAAGGTGTTTCAGTTACTAGGCTGGTACGCTTGACTTCGCAGTGACACGTCCTTCCGATGTAACTGGGCTGGGAGTGATGGTGTACGCAGTGCAATGGACAATTCTTATTTACCCAACCTGTCTGCATTGCCAAAGTTGAGCCACTCTTCACCCGCGAACGTTATCTCTGAGAGCGGCATTTGCCAAGAGACAACGGCTTCTCTGGATGTTGCCTCAAGCCGAAGAAGAGCGAACGAGTGTGTATAAAGAGATATGTATTCCGTTTCAGGGTTTCGCGACGGGCCAAGAACACTTTCAGCCGAGTCGATAACGGAAGGAAGAAGGAAAGAAAGACTCTCTCGACGAGTCATAAACGCCTGGCTTCAGAGGAATCGGTCAGCGTCGCCTTCAGGTTATCGCCATGATTCGGAATTCGGTGCTTTCAAATTACGACGCCTTGAGCTGGACCACCATTGTGATTATCGCTGTCTACGTACTCTACAGGCTGGTCAGGTTAGTTTCTTGTCAAATAAAAAATAAGCCTTTTGTTTAAGAGAGGGCCTTAACTCATGCAGTTCTTAAAACTTGACGCAGACAATGATTGTAGAACAGTTCGTCCATGACTTTTTGTCTATGACTTTGTGTGAATGATAAATGGTTGTTTTTGCGGGCAACCCTCGTCATCGGTATGAAAGTCTAACAACGCAATTATTTTAATTCCTTTAACTGCATTCATCGGTCACCCAAGCTTCTCAGCACTGAGGAAGTTATGGGGCGTGAGCCTCATAAAAACTGTGAGTTTTGTATGAATAAAGCAGGAAACTAAATTGGGTCTTTCGAAGCCTTAGTTAATATGCATGTTGCCAAAAGTCATCACGCTGATAAACAGTGCAGGTATCAGTGTGCTGAGAAAGAACTAAACCTTGTTCCAGCTCACAGTTTTCTACAACTTTTCTTCTTTGCGCCAAACTAATTACCTATCTAAACATTGAGCTATTTTTACGCCTTAATCCTATAGCCACCGATCTGGCCCCAATAACATGCTGACACGTTTAGTTCGGATGGGTGATACTAAAATTATACATCCACCTGTGTTCTAATGAGCACGTACTACTACCGAACCACAGGGGACAATGGCTAGGCTACAGCTGATCTTAGTCTACATTTCAAGACACGCATATGCTCATCATTCCACACACGGAGGTGCCTTACGGAACCACTTAGTGACGCCCGTGTTCGAATTCGTTTTAAAAATGAGGCCCTGTAGGACCATCGCGTACGGCGATGAATCATGTCCGCCACTATGTAAACAGTGCGTGGGGAAGAGGTGTGCAATCGAAGCATGGCATCGGTCCATGCGAGTTTCGTAACGTAGAGGTGATTGAATGCAGCGGAAACAATACGATGGCACCAGCCGTAGTTCATCATAATCAGCGAAAACTATCTGCAAGCACTCGCTTATGTATTCGCGCAGGGCACTGAGCACGTACATGGCATCGTACGCTAACAATCACAAATCGCAATAACATCATTTCGATACATGTGTGCACATTTAAACACTGCACTCTGTGCACTGTTTTTTATATAGCCGCATAAAGAGAGTTTGCAAAAGTCTCTTAAACGGCCTTGTGTCAAGTCTACTGCGCTTCGTGCGTGTCCCACGTCATACTGAAGTCGCTGAACCTCACCTCTCTCTTTACCGTACGACATAGTGATCTTTACCGTACGGTATAACGATCAATCACCAAGCACGCCAGCTCTCAACGTTATTGTCTCCTTCTGTATCTCACTTTACAACTCAGTGAGTGGACCGTTATCGAGTCAATAACACTTTACACCGTGCCAATGAAGGTGTTCATGAATTACATAATGGCGGAATTACATCAAAGAATGCTACGACTGCCCGACCCTTTAGTGAGAGGTCTGCTACACCGCGTCTCTCAAGGCCATTCGTCGCGCCTCAATGACCTTGAGTTTCTGGAGCGCAAGTATGCAGACGGAACATCACCCCACGTGATGCACTGCGGAAGACGTTGCAGAAACACGCACCCATCGAGGTCGCTGCTGCTTGCCACGCAAATGCTTGACGGTTAACAATAAAGAATCACTGCTGGGGCAGTCTTTTAAAAAGTCGCGCTAAATTTATATTTCACTCGTTATATGATCACAACAGTAAAACCTCGGCCAATTTTCCTTCCCCTCACAGGTCCCGCCAAAAAACATTCAACTATTTCAAGGAAATCGGAATACCGGGCCCGGAGCCAAGCCTTATATGGGGAAATCTTGCCGAGTACCACAAGAAGGTATAAGGACAACGCCACTCTTGTTAAAAGCGTTCGTAATTTTTTCTGAAGTACTGTTACATTTTTGCACGGCGCTTTAAAGGAAGCGCCCCTGTTTTAAGCGAAACGTACAGCTTTCTGAAGATTAATTAGCGTCGCACACCATTTTGAAAGATGTGATAACAACAACTAAGAAACAGAACTAATGAATCTGACAGACCAATAAGACGAGAAAAAACAAGGAGCGATATTATTTGTGAATTCTTAACTGTACTCTAACAATTATCTCTGAAATTGAATGAAATGAAAGTCGACCAGTAATCACCCTTTCATTCGGCAGCTTTCATCAACATCAACCTTCCAATTACGTGCAGATTATAAACAATGTATGTTGTATACCGAGTCACTGAAAAAAAAACAACATTCTGGCAAGCCACTTTGACTACGTGAACCGCATGGGCGCAAACACACACACACACACACACACACACACACACACACACACACACACACACACACACACAAACACACACACACACACGCACACACACACACAAAATGCAGTATGTCAAAGTAGACATGCTATATGTATACTTGTAGTACCGAGAAAACCGCTGACAAACATGGTTTTGTTAGGGTTCCTGTGGGTGTGCTGCTGAATGTAGCAGAACTCTGTGCCAATTGTCTAAATGTCGCTAGTAACCATGCATTGTGCCAAAGCTGATGCTTTTGTCTCCCGACGCCACCACAGAAATGAGCTGTATTGACACTAGTCCTCGCCAGTGAGCTCTAAAGCGAATGCGTCAGTTTTTGGAGTTTGCTCAGGTGCATGATTCACTGCATGATGTGACGTGTGTGCGACAGCTACTAAGCAACAGCGCCGCCGATCCACAGAACGTCCATCGGTGTCCCATAGAAGATCTTCAGTGCTTATATAGATGCACTGCAGTCGAAATATATTAATATATTGTACAATTGGCTACATGCGAACGCGCATTGACTTAAACTGCAGCAGTGCGGAGGCAACTCTTCTTCCTAGTAAGTTACCGTCGTGCACGGCAACGGGTCGTAGCCGCCAGTCGCGTTACGAGCCACTGGCACTACTGCTCTTCTGTTGGTAATATAGCTCCCGAGCAATGAGGCGGGCAACAGCACAAATGTGGATTGGAACAGCGAGACTGTGGAATGAAACCCTTTCGGAGAAGCTGTCGCGGGATTCCAAAATGACCTCTCATGAAGAGATGCTAAATGAATTAAGTGCGCTGCCGCGAAGAACAACGCTGACTGTGTAGGCTTCAAGAACTCTACGTCAAAAACCGAGAATCGCAATGACTCCCCAAAAGTGCGGACTCGCAGTTCTACCCATGCGGCTCCTTTAAAAACATGGTCATACTAATGTTGATGCGAACGACGCTTGAGACGATAGCGTGACCAGAGAATTCCACTAGCCCTTGCGAAAACACGTGTGCTTCGGAATACATTCAGAACGAAGCCGTATATGGCTAGGTCCTGGAGGATCGCGTCCATGAAAATACGCATTCGAAACAATTTAGAACGCTAGATATACGATGTCTCGTGGTCACGCCTTGGCAAAGGCAGCTGCCAGGGTGTGGCCCCGCCGCAGTGATCTATGGCTAAAGCACTCGGCTGACGACCCGCAGGTCGCGGGATCAAATCTCGGCTGCGGCGGCTGCATTTCCGATGGAGGCGAAAGTGCTGTAGGTCCATGTGCTCAGATTTGGGTGCACGTTAAAAAACCCAAGGTGGTCGAAATTTCCGGAGCCCTCCACTACTGCGTCTCTCTTAATCATGTGGTGCTTTTGGGACGTTAAACCGTACATATTTTATAAGCAGCCCACGTGTCCTGCAGTAAACTTTTTATTTGGCTGTACCTGTGCCGTGCATTTGAAACGACGACGGGCAAGCGATTCATGCTGCAAACTAACAGCGGCGTAGAAGGTCTTCGAGTAGTCTGATCTGCAGCAAGGTGCATCGTTATTTATACATGCGGCATGGAATATTCGAGTTTTCTCGCGCGTACGCACATGAACACAAAAAAAAAACTTTACGCGTTCTGCACGTAATCTTAGCAGAGTGATCTTAAATATATGAGTTCCAAGCTTCTCAAGCATTGCAGCGTGAACAGCACCCAGCATTATCAACTGTCCTTGGGGTTACTCGAGCACGTAAAAATACATCATTAAGCACGCGTACATTTATTTGTTTATGTATGAAGTACGTATCTAAGTGCATGCGCTTCTTGCCCCTTCACCATCACCCTTTCACAAGTGCCACGACGCTCAATAACGCCGCTTCCCACCAATTTTGTAGCGCCTTTGTATCTTGACTTATCCCCGTATTCGGAAACACTCCTTGAACTGAACTTGACTTGCCACTGCCTTCATTGCAGCAGAAACGCGTCGCGAACGTGATGTTTTTATATAGCGGTGCCAAGGTAGCACAAACACACAAACGCTTTTCAAACGCAAAGCATTGAAGACGGCTGCAAGTGAAGACCAAGTGAAGGAGCGCTTCTGGACACGGGGGTTGGAGATGGTGCTGGCACTGTCATCGGCAGTTTCCCCTCTGAACTCACTATGCTATCGCGTCCTTCGCTCGGGGGAAAAACAGGGCGAATCGAAGGAGCGCCAACGATCGGAGAAACACGCATGGTTGTGAAAACGGTGTGGAAGCCGATGCTTCTAGCACAGTTTTGCTTGTTTCCAACGCAATCCTTGTTTTCGTATCACAATGCGCACAACACAGGAGTAACAAAAAACCAAAACGCCTCTGCCACTCTGTTGTAGAAATTAACTTGATATTGTACACAGTTTTCCTGTACATAACATCTGGAAGGGTGTTGAAATAGCACTCTATGCACACTTGTAGGTGTTGACATTTTTGCTTAAGCAAAATCTCACGCATGCCACAGGGCTTCGTGCACGCCATCACAGACTGGAGCGCCAAGTATGGGGACGTATTCGGGTAAGTGCGTTTCTGTTCTTGAAAAACACGCGTGCGATTTCTCGTGCCGACAAGAATGCTGTAGCTCAGCTTTACCAGACATTTCTAATGTTTCAATGCTTTGATTTGGTTGAGGATGGAACTTTTTGGCATCGTCCTCTTACTACCAAGTGGCGAGAAAAAGTGATGGGACGCAAAGAACAGACAGGGTCAATGAATAGCTACAAACGGATGTTTTATTCTACGTGAACACGAACGTAAATGCATTTCAGGAGAGCAGGGTAAAGGGAGATTGAAACGCGTTGATTTTTTTTAGCCTATGTAGAATAGTGAGGTATTTAACTAGGAGATAATTAACTTCATTCACAGTGAACGCAAGCCAACCCTACGACATGCATTGGGAAACCATCGCAAATTTTTTGAGTTCGGGTTAGTGCAGCGGTAGCAGTTCGTAGTGCGCGTCTGATGAGAATGAAGGGTGCCACCGCAACGCGCACAATGTGCGTACATTGCAGACGGTGCATCTGTGCGCAACGTTCCGCAAGGGCGCAACATTCACAAACGCATTCATTCCATGCCTTCTTTTCTTTCTTAATTGCCCTTTTAAAGCATCCGGCAAAATGTAGGCGACATCTGGCGCCAATTTTGCAATTCAATGAACGTTATATGTTACGGTAATGACGCTAGAGCACGTCATTCAGCACCTTTAAATGCAAAGTAACGAAAACCAGAACGACGACTTGTTGGGTACAGAGTTTATCAGAAGTTCGCAGGCATCGTCAACGGCAAAGCGACAAGAAAACTTCCGGTAATATTTTAAATTTCTAGAGAAACTATCTAGATGTTACCGCTGTGTCATTACTTTCCTCAGAAAAGGACAGGTAACTGGTTCACCAGTTTTTCGTCAAACTTCTGGCACTTCTTCCATGTTCGTTAATCTTGGAACTTACTTTTCTTGTACAGATTTTACAATGGCGATCTTCCAATGCTGGTCGTGAAGGACTTGGATTTCATAGCTTACGTTTTCGTGAAGGACTTCAAGAACTTCACTGATAGAGGTGTAAGTCTCATGGTATAGGCACCCCTTTTAGTATAAGAAAGGTCATATCGCTCTTGTCGCTGTGTCACAATTAACGTCACTGCTTGCCGAATAGATGGCACCCATTTCAAGTAACTTTAACCAACTGTTTAAAAAAAGAGAATGGTTAACAACAGTTAAGACAAAAGTACACGTGGATTGTCGCTAGGGGGCGTTCTTTAGATTACTTGTTACGTTGTGCTTCATCAGTCGATTAAATATACGATCACTTACAAAACATTTCTAAACTTAACCTTTGGGCATGGTGCGCTTTACTTGTGAAGGGGATAGAGGAACGACTGGCTATGTGTGCACGTATTCACGCGCGCATGCGCGTTTGCGTGTGTGTGCGGCTGTCGGTCCACCTGGCACTTCTACTAAATGTTAAAATGCAGAGTTCAGCTTAATCATTCGATCCTGACAAACTTATTAGGCAGAATATGAAAAAAAATCTGAAGAGCCGCACATTACGGCAAACCACAGGTTATTTTCACGAGGCTGCGGTCAGCGATTCGTTTTTAAATACATTGGTGCAAGGTTCCTCATCTAGATTGTATGTAAAATAAATAGTGCATGAACTTTCGGATATTTCTAGTATTCTAGTGATAGAATGAAGTTATCGTTTGGGTTATAAATCGCAAAATGTTCACGAAGAACATGTAGTTCTGTTTATGGCTCCTCCCCTCGAGTTTTCGTAGATTTATTCGGGGCAGCATGCCACTTAAAAGTAACACATTTAATATGTGTGTTATCTATGCTTTTGAACCTTAATACAAAAAAATCATGTGGTCCCGACACAGCATTCCAAACATATTTCTTCGTCGCTATGCTGAGTCACTGGCTAAATTTCTTGTCGTTTTATTTCGTACTTCTTTAATGTATGGCGAGCCTCCGAAGACTGGAAGATAGCTCTGGTTGTACCTATCTTTGAAAAGGGCGACCGCCTATGTTTTCAAAATTATCGTCCAATATCACTAACATCTTCTTGTTGCAAACTAATGGAACACATTGTCGCCACTCGCATTCTTGAATACTTAAACGACCATAATATTCTAACAGGTTTCCAGCACGGGTTCAGGAAAGGGTACTCCACCGTCACACAGTTAGTTACAGTATTTCATTCGTTTGCACACACCTTAGACAACACCGGTCAAATAGATGCAATATTTCTGGACTTCAGTAAAGCATTCGATAAGGTACCACATGACAAATTAATTCTTAAGATGCGAAATATTGGCCTCCCCGAAATTCTGGTCACATGGGTTGCAAATTATTTGACAAACCGCAAACAACTGGTCGTAATAGATGGAATAGGGTCCGGCTATCTTGATGTCACTTTGGGAGTTCCTCAGGGAAGTGTGCTGGGTCCATTTTCTCTTCATACTGTATATAAATGATATTGTTAATGAAATTACAACTGGTGTGCAAATTCGGTTGTTCGCGGATGATGCAGTCTTGTTTCGGGATGTTTCGTGCAGTGCTGATCAGTGTGAACTTAATACCAATCTTGCAAATATACTTGAATGGTGCAAGAACTGGGGAATGGGGCTGAACGCCGACAAAACACTGTATCTTCGCATAACACGAAAGAAAGTTCCGTACGACTATCAATACACACTAGGAACATCGCCATTGAAACAAGTCACCAGTCATAAATATCTCGGTGTCACACTAACCAGCAATCTCTCGTGGAATTTACACATTGACAATATTTGCTCATCTGCCTTTCTTAAGCTATGCTTCTTAAAACACAAACTCAGAAATTCCCCTTCTAACGTCAAGCTCCTCAGCTACTTCACTTTTATTAGACCTAAGCTCGAATATGCCTGTATAGTCTGGAACCCCTACAATAATCACAACATCCGTAAATAGAAAGAATTCAGAGAAAAGCTGTAAGGTTTATTTACTCTAAATACTGACGTACTGATTCTCCCTCGCAAATAATGCTTGCTAACAAAATCTCCAGCCTTGAATCCAGGAGAAAGTGCTTCCGTCTTGATTTCCTTTCTTCACTAAGTAAAGGTGCACTGTCCATTGACCCATCTCCGTTCTTGTCACCGTTACAAACAAGACCTACTAGGCACCATAACCCGAATGCTTTCGCCCCATATTTTGCTGCTACTGACACTTTCAAGTACTCTTTTTTTCCGCGTACGATACAAGAGTGAAATGAATTACCCCCTGTATAAGTGCCTTGTTTGCTTGTATTGTTTGTATTTTTGCATTTTATCTTCTTGTGCCCCCCTGCTTGGACCTAACCATGGTCTGCAGTATGTATTAAATAAAAATGAATAATTCGTTTTTATAAATATCTGTATTAAGTGTACTGTATGTCTCCTTCATGTCAATTTTATGCACTAACTCTGACAAACATCACTTACGGCCCAAACAGTACACATGATGAATAGTGCGACTTTCGTTGTTTTTCGCTTCTACTTTATCGCGTTGCAAAACCCTCCAGAAGAATCGCCTTCAAGTTCCTGTTTCTCCCTTATTAGGTTCTCATGCGAACCAACCAGGAGCATGGCGTCCTGAGTAACAGCCTCATAAATGCCAAAGGAGCAGAGTGGAAAAGAACGCGGAGCTGCATGTCACAGGCTTTCACTTCCAACAAGCTGAAACAAGTGAGTACTTTTTTTTTACTTATTCATTCCTTACGTCTGAGTCAAGGTGCAAGCATGGGGCGTAATATAACTGAAAACCAGACTGTAGTGCGCAAAGCAAGAGACGCATGGAAAATAGAATATTTTATTTTGGTTGACATCAAAAGAAACCGCATGATTGTGTTGGTCGAAGAGATCTGCACATAAAAAATGTTATCTTGAAGAAACATGAATAAGCGATAGGACTAGCGCTCACGTTTACTGTTCTTGCTTCAATCAAAAATTCATAGACAACCTAACAAATTCACATGATATGCTTTATATGCAATGCTGTATTAATTTGTACACTGTATATGAAATATATTTAACGCACATAACTTGATAATGTAGGGTTTTGAAATTGTCGTGTCTTGAGTATGCCTCTCTCTACTTTTCATTTTACCTTTGTTCTTCTGTTGATTATATAAATTATTTACTTTGCAATGACAACTTTTCATCTAATTGAGCAGTTATTTAGACCACCCACCAGCCAAATGGTACGGGCATAATTAGTGTTGTGTACTTTCACGTACAAACAAATCTTGATATAAGACGTGAAGGTGATGAATTTTTACAGTTCATAACTAGCGAACTGTGCAAAAAAAAAAACAGAAGTTCATTGAGACGGACGCTTTATGGGAGCAAACGTTAACAACGAATTTCGCAAGAGCTGAAGTTTCAACACTTTCTCACAACTGCTCTCCAAATGCTAGTCTGAAAATGGTCGCGCGTGCGAACACACCTGCTCTTCTTTACGGTCTAGCCTTTCAGACAAGCAGACTAAAGGTAGGAGCACCGACACAACGATGAAACTGTCTTTGCGTTTTCCTGTAACGCGTGTCCCCAAGGGCTAGCCTTTCCAGAATGGTTTCATACTTGCCTGAGAAGCAGCACTCGTAAAATGTCAGTCACACTTTATATACGTGAGTAAATATCACTTTTTTGTTTAGAAATTTTCTCCGTGTGCAATGCAGATGATGCAGGACCTCGAAAAATCAGCCGACCTTTTCGTCGAAACGCTGGGAAACTTCGCCGACTCTGGACGAGAGTTGGCTATCCACAAGCCATTACAAGGTCTGGCCTTAGACTACACCGGCCGGGCAGCTTTCGGACTCGACTGCTGCTTTCAGCGGAATCTCTCGCATTCTTTCATGCGAGCTGCACTCGAGGTGGTACATGGTCTCATGACTGGACCATTTCACATGATCGCCCGTGAGTAGATCGAGCCTACAGCAAGAGCTCTGACGATTATATTTTGCCAAAAAAAAGTGCTGCGTCGTATACTAACGGTTGTCTTTGCCACAAACGTTGTAAACGGGCGTTGATGCCGCAAAGAGGTCCTGCAAAGCTTTTCTGTATTATCATCGAAAAACATCAGTATCATACTTCTCTGCCTTATGAATCAACTGCTGCGAAATTTGTAGAGCCCGTGAAATAGGAACGGAGTTACAGCAACTCGTCGCATGCACCAAGAGCGTCTTTTATCTTGTACCAGCAAGCTATACGGAAGCTACACAAAGCAAGAGCGTCCTTTATCTTGTGTCACCAAGCCCTACGGAAGCTACACACAGAAGAGGAGTTGGCTAAGGGTGAAAAAGCTACATCGGAGAGTAGCTTTTTGGCCGCGCGTCCTGATCTGGAAAACGTTCTTTTTTCTTTGTGTGTGTGTGTGTGTGAATGCGTGGTGGACTTAACATGTGTTCACGCACGCTGTTATATTGTGCAGCACACATATTTTGAGTTTCAAGCAAGCGGCGATCTGAGCCTCAGCGCGTCGTGCATCTACTTGTAGCATTTTACCCCTTTCTGAAATTTTGTAATTGAGTGCGAGTTATTAAGAAGTCAATAATATTTGAAGATGAAGTAATAATTCCACAGCTTTTTCTTTCCCTCTCTTGACAGATTGCACAAGTACACTGGGCGATATTGTATCCCCCATATTCTGGCTGAACGAAAAGTTTGGCTCCTTCAGCTTCAGCACTTTTGGCAAGGAAACCAATAAGGTCGTAGAAATGAGACTTCGCCGTCCAGAGGTGAATGATTTTGCCTGTATATTGAGACTTACTCATTGATCCCACCAAAAGACGGTACTTTACTGACAGGGTTGGTTTTTCTGTTGTGCTAATGGACTTTAGCAGCTTCTCGAAAAAGTAAAAACGGTGGGTCAGTGCACTGAGGAGATAAAAATGAAGAAAATTTCCTGCTAGCTCAAAAAAATGATGCGCAGCGAAAACCAGAAACTCATACGTAGTCGCTTTTCTCTGTGCAGTCTTGTAGGGGAGAGCATAATATTTAACACTGTTGCGTAGCTTTCAATGACTACTTATTGTCATGACACTGAAGCATACAGGCTTGTGAAACAAACTTATTTATTGGGGCAAACTTGTGCCCACAAGGTAAGGTAACTGTGCGGAAACTGCAAGTCCTGTCGAACCACAGAAAAATCCCAGAGAACTTTTTTCTTCTTTTTTTTACTCACCAGAGGCCAGAGAGCGTGATGCATGTGGGCTGGGTTTGGCCAGGTGCTCGTGCTACCACGGTATATATATATATATATATATATATATATATATATATATATATATATATATATATATATATATATATATATATATATATATATATATATATATAAATATATATATATATATATATATATATATATATATATGAATAACCTACATTGCTTTCTCCTAACTAGAGTACCATGTACTCTTACAGTACGGCGTATATACTGAAAGGTGTCTGCGAAGTTGACAAAATGACGTTCTTGTTGCTCACTACGGTGCCTGTCTGCCAGTGTTCTCATTACAGAGTGACACTAGCATTCGTTCAGTGAGCATGCCAACACACGTTTCACTGTTATCGCAATAACATGATAGCATTAAAAACCCCATTTCTCAGAACTTCTAGTGTCGGCATCGTTGCTTTCGAGCAATACATCATTACCTTGTACATGACGGAAAAATCAGGAAAAATGCAAACAAGTACATAATAATACACTTCGGTCCAAATGACAATTCAACCCAGGCCTTCGAGTGACAAGCAGGTGCTACACCACTGATCAACGCGATTGCTCGAAAGTGATCCGGAATGAAAACACGATATGAATGTGATCGTGGAAGGGGTCTCCTCTGACGTATACCCAGTATAGCGTGGCAGAAGCGTACAGTGACACCAGGCGCATAAAAACACGTGGATTGAGTAAATGTTTGGTATTTCAAGGGCCCATTAATTAGGAAGTGCTCAAACTCGTATCCGTGTGCATTCTAACAAACTCGTGGTGAGCTTTTTATTCATTCACGTAGAAAAGATTATTGTATAATGAACACTTAATAACTGTACTTGCAGTACACATTCTAGGATACTTTGGCAAGGTCGATTCCGTGGGCACAGTTCGTTTCCCTATGGGACGATTAAAGCACACAGCGAGAACCTAAGCTATGTTAGCAATCGAGAATGCGATGCGCGGGGTGGCTGATAACGCTGTCACGTTCTGATTCTCAAGGTGAGGCTGAAGAGGCCTTCGCGTTTTTGTCAGTGCCGTCTGTCTCGCGTTCATGTTTTCGTGCAAAGTCCAGATCGATAACATCCGCACTTGTGTCCTACGTTCCATGTTCGAGTGAGTGTGTTGTAGGGCCACCGACAGTCGCGGCTGAAAGAGAGTGGAAACGCACCGGCCGTCTTTTTTGATACCACGAAAGGCGCCTGGAGATCAGAGCCGGAGGTATTTGCTGCATGGCAGCAGCCCGAAATGCGTCTTTTGACCAAACAGCGTGGGTCCCGCGGGAGCTCAGGCGTTATCTTTAGAGCGGATGAATAGAAGACTGAATGGAATGGATGCGTGTTCTGGTTTCCTAGCAATTTTCGCGGTAAAGCCATATGGAGCACAGAGTTCACTTTTCCGTCCGCATGCAACGTCCGCAATTTCTCAAGTAATGAGCTGCTTGCGCTACTACGGGTAACACCGAAATTCGTTGCTATCACATTCTTTACTTTCTTCTAGCTGTAAACTCTGACTATTCCCCTCAAGCTCTTACTTCTTTTATTTCAAGGTATCTTACAGGCTCCAAGAGGGTCTTTTAGGAGGAGGGTGGGGGGCACGATACTGAATACACAGGGTGTCCCACGTAACTTTAACCAGAGTTTAAAAATATGCCGGCACACGCGATTATGACGCGATCAAATGCATGTTGCTCACCGTTGCCTGAAGTTAGTCGGACTATTTTTTGTTCTCTCAAATATTTTTAATTTATAATGTTTAATTAACTAACTCTCCAAGAAACAAAAGTATATAAAAAACTAAATGAACTCTGTTCACCATGTGACCCTATTTTGTATTCTGAGTGCATTGCGTAACGGTGATTTATATTCCCCTTGTATTTTATTTTAAAATGTATCCCTCTGTCGCCATGTTCATATAAGCAAGTGCTGCATTCCCTCAAATTTACATCGCCCTGTATAGCCTAAAATTTGATCTCATTTATATATATATATATATATATATATATATATATATATATATATATATATATATATATATATATATATAGTTTTTCGTTGTTCTTGCACTGATCCTGCCTGTAAACTGTTCGTTACCTCTCTGTACCATTCCCATTCCTCCCCCCCCTTACCCAATGCCCTGTTCTGGGGCCTGTAAGGTTTTTTTTTTGAATAAAGAATAAAGAATAAAAAGTTGTACATCGGTTTGCAAAACGTCCGATTAGACAGTTTTAAACTTTATATCTGTTAAGTGTTAGTGCTTTTCTGCCAATTACAAATGCCCACAAAATACAAAAAGTACCACGTGACAAACCCGCACGTGCGCCAGTGCACACAATGGTTCTAGTGCTCCCTGACGTTCCGCGTACGAACGACAATGGCATTTCCCCATCATGCTGTCTCGGCAAGGCCGCAACGATGGTGGTAGCTTTACGATGAACATGTTTTGCGATCGGCCACTGAATGATAATCGCTGTGCCTGCTTATCGCTTTCTTGAATCATTGCGAGGGAAGCGTGGCGTTCGTACGTGGAACGTTAGGGAGCACTATCGTCATCGTGCGCACCGACGTGCGAGAGGGTTTGTCACGCGGTACTTTTTTTGCTTTTTGATGGCATTCGTAATTGGCAGAAAAATGCTAATATTTAACAGATATAAAGTCAGAACTATCTATTCGGACGTTTTGCAAAAAGATCTACAACTTTCTCATTGAAATTTTTTATCCATCTTGGTTCCTTCAAAAATTAGTTAATTAAACAGATTTTATGAGTAATATTTAAGTACACAAAAATTGTCTCACTCCAGGCAACGGTGAGCAACACGAATTTGGTCGCGTCGTAATTACGTGTTCCGGGTATAGGGTATTTTTAAACTCTGGCTCAAATTACGTGGGAAACTTTGTACACTCTTGCGGCCTGGCTGGCCGCTGCTTCTTGATGCTGTGATCCTCTTTAGAATAGCATGGAATACTAGGTCTTAGTCAAATGAGTCTTAGTCAAAGGGTACCCATTTTCTTCTAATCTTAAGAAACAAATTCAGTGACGTCGCCTTCACGTGCACGCAATATAATTTTGACAGGCATAAGGCAAAATCTATTAGGTACTCTTTTGTTCAACAGTGGTTTAGAGAGAAAGAGAGAATATCAGGAAGGCAAGGAGGTTAACTACGCTAAGTCCAGTTTGCTACCTTACACAGCGGAGAGGGAAATTAGGGAGGAAAAGGGAGAGGAGAAGATACACATTGCACATAACACACACACCGCATACACAGTTCAGGTTTCACAAATGGTCGCACAGCGATGTTGCCTTCAAAAATTGTAGAATGGCTAAAGTTGAAAGCTACTACTAGCTGTTGTCCACACAAACAGACCTGAAAATGTATAAATGAAGAAGCTGTTTTATAGAAGTGCAGTTGGAATTCATTATTGATATTTTAAGCATGATTTCCATCAACGCGTGCGCATCTTTTCAGGCGAGAAGACCAGACCTGTTGCAGATTATGCTAGACGCAACTGAGCGCGCAAACGATGGTATGTCCCAACTTACGCTCCTGGTATTTCGCTAAAACACTTTGAATTCCTTGTGAGAATAGAAAGTCAACATTATGTTCGTAAGTGTATTATTACTTTATTGGGTGACGTGAGCTTGGGAAGATTGTTAGCTCTAGATCAGCGGGAAAGGATCACTATTATATTCGAGATCACCACAGATCCTCTTTTTCCTTTGTGACTTAAATATAAAAAACATTGGGAACTAATTATTCCGATAAAACAATTCCCTTCTGCTCAAGAACTATGGAAACATATATATATTACCAAAATTTTTGCCACTTTAGCACACATAGCTCCATAATATTTAGGTGTCCAATAAAATTTTTGGTCATTGAAATTGTTGACGCCTAACGTCACAACCACACCTTGAATTTATGTACCAATTCGTCATAACTTTGCCAAACTGATATTTCTGCTGTATGATTCAGCTACGCTGCTTTTGTTTTACTTCTCGAAGAAAATAATGCAAATGCAAATCACGTTTCTCAAATGAAGGCCACATATTTCTTTTAGCAATTTATTATAGTTATTTGTCTGGTGGTAATATTAATACATACATTGCGTACTGTACTTTAGTACCAGAAATTGCAAGTGTCATGATTTGTTACCGTCTTTTAATCATAACTTCACTATGCGTTACATTTTTTTTCGAATTTCCAATTCACGATCTGTACGTATATGTTCCTGTGCTGGCAAAGAGAGAGAACTACAGCTTTTGTACGAATATTCCTGAAATAATGAAACTTCCAGGACAAGAACCACTTGGCACTCCGTAAGACCTGTGTAATCCTGAAAGGAACCGCAGCTTCCTATTGATATTTCAATGTGGTATGTTTTGTGACCATCCGCAGTTGACCCAAAAAGCAAAGCAGGCATGACCCTTCAAGAAGTCGAGCTCAACACCACTGTGATGATGGTTGCCGGGTGAGTAGCGAAAATAAAACAATGCACACTCCACTCATGCTTTGATTGCAACCATTGCAGTCTACCCTAAAGAAATCATTCCTAAGTTAGCTATTTAGTAGTTAAAATCTGATGAAATGACGGGAAATGCTTCAACCATTGTGAGCAGGGCAGTGAACCAACACTTGTATTCTTCAATTCTGATTTTTTTTTATTATCTCCAAAAAGCTCGAACAGTCATCCCTTTATAATATATCCAAAACTTTTTTTTTATTTCACCTCATAACCACAATAACTTAGCTTCGATTTATAGTAAAAAGTTATGAGGCAGGCACTAAAAAGAGAACCAACGACAATTTTGTATTCTTGTTTTACACTTGTGTCTGTGTCTTGGTCTTAAAATTTTGCTAGGAGAGAAATAGTAGCTTCTTTTGGTCATACTCAGATTCTCATAAATGCGATTGACCATCATGACGAGGTCGAGGTCAAATAGCAAAGCCCTTGCTTCTTTTTCCTACAGCAAAAATATGACTCGAAAATGACTCACGACAACTGTTTCCTCTATAGCCGTTGTATTTTTTTTCCTAAAGCCATTTCCACAGTTAAAGCTTGATATCTGAGCTGCAAGTTTGGTTTATATCAAGTTTTTATGATTGCATGCTTTGCCGCATATTCGACCACTATATAACTACATTCATAAATCGTATTATAGCCAAAGTAAGTAAATGTATATATAAAAACGAAATAAGACTGTATGGCGGAGAGTCATGAAGGCCAATCAGCTTAACAAGTCACCAACATAATATTCAAGTCCATTGCTGGACGAAAATAGCATTGGATTGAAAAGAGAAACAAGCGGAAAGACAATGTTAGCCAGCATTTAGACAGGCTGGCTGCGCTGTGAAAGGTGTCAAGGACAAAAAAGATTATCAAAAGATGATGTTAAGAAAGATAACACCATCTCCTGTTAAAGGAAACCATGTGCGGTGTGCAGCAGATGGGAGACGGGGCCCTTTCATGAGAGCTTGTGCAGGCGCTAACTCTGACACTGGCGGTGGCGTTGACGCTCATCGCGGCGTCGCGCAGGGAGAGAAATGAAGCGCGCGCGCTCCGTCATTTCATATACCATAGTGCCCCCCTGTGGAGTATGCAGCTGTCGCACCACCTGTCGTGCGCGCCGCTCCGGTGAGTAGATAGGATTTCTAGGGGAGAGAAAGGAGGAGGGGACGCGCATGCGCTGTGGGGGTGTGGGCGTTATAGGAATGGAGAAAGGGGGAGCGTGGAGAAGAACGGGGAGAAAGTGGGGATGGATGCCTCGGGATGCACGAGGGAGTGACGGACGCTGCCCCCGCCGTGAGCTGCCTCGCATCTAAAAAGGGAAGAAACTGGTTGACTTGGTTGATCTTACGGGCTTGACGTAGCCTTCGAGTCTAGGTACTTCCTAGACGTTCACAAAGTGGCGTATTACAGCTTCTCAGGAGTCATACAAAAATGTCGAAACTCCAGCGCAAGAGGCAACGTGCAAAGCTGGCCGTGGCACCCCCGGTCGAAGCACGGGCCTTTGGTTGCTCGTTATCGTCTCGCGCTTCGCCGGCGAACTCGGTGCGGTGACTGTGCGGACTCTCTCGGTGAGCGCGGCTGATAAGCAAGGGCACGTGATAAGCATTGGCGCCAAAGGTTTTTAGGGGGACACCCGACGCTTCACCTCGAGCTTTGAGAGCTTCCCTGTTAAAGAAGCAGAGCAAAAGAAGGGGAAATAAAGAAAGTGATAATACGAATTCCTCTAAAAAACTGCCACTGCGTGAACGACAGAATGAAACGATCCGTTTGAATTGTAGAGATGTGGTAATTTGTTTCAAGTTGTTAGGTTGGCTAGCCTTCCCAGATGCATTAAAGATGATGACTAAGACCAGCCAATTACTACCCCCTCTAGGAGATATCATGCAACTTTACTATGCGAGCTATCAGAAACACTACTTTATTTCATATGAATGTTGTACTTTTTTTTACAACAGCTGCATGAGATAACTTGTACGCCTTAGTGTGGTGCAAACATAGTTCCAAGTTTTTTCATTATGGTTTAATGCCTAGTCATTCATCGTAGTACAGTTTTCATCAGAATGTCTTTGTGTATTTATGTATGGTTCATCTATGTTTGCATTTCATCAAACAATACTTCCTAGTGTTACTACGTATCTACCCACTTTTGCCATCAATCCAATTTTCCGTAACGATAAATTTATTTCATTGCAATCGCAATTTTAGGACACTATGCACCGTTTTTGGTGGTTGGCCTTGCAGTCACCGTTTTTGTGAACGCCCTCATCCTCAATCAATGTGTATGTATATATATATATATATATATATATATATATATATATATATATATATATATATATATATATATATATATATATATATATATATATATATATATTGCTACGATACTGAGGATGCGCGTGGAAGAAGAGGAGAACGATGTTGGCACGAGCAGTGATCGGCCAGATCCCTGGACTCTCGCATTGATCATCTCCTGTAAATAAAGGCATCCATCGCACCGTAACAAGATTGGTGGAAGGTGCGGGGTACAGCGGAGCGATCCAAGTCCAACGATCACGGAAGCGCTACCTCAAGAACTACGCCGAAGCCGCCGACTGGCTGGTCTACCACCGCTCTCTATGGATCCGATTGCTGACGGCGACACCACGCACTCTTCGTCTGGCGCTGCGTGGCCCCGGCACATGGTACCACGAAGCTTCTCAGGGAGGGTCGGAGAAGACGTTGACGAATGGCTGAAACACTTCAACCGTGTGAGTAAATACAACTGTTGGGATGCGGCCTCCCGGTTGTCCAACGTCGGATTGTTTCTTCAAGGGACGGCGTTGGTGTGGTTTGAAAACCACGAAGAAACAATAATGACCTGGGAAGCTTTTGAGAAAGAAATAGCGAGCTGCTTCGGGGACCCATTGATGAAGAAGAAGCGCGCTGAGCAAACTTTGATGCAGCGTGCTCAAGTCCCCGGTGAAACATGCACAACGTACATTGAAGAGATCCTGAAATTGTGCAAGTCTGTAGACCCACGCATGAAAGAAGACGACAAGGTAGGGCATCTTCTCAAAGGGGTTGCTGAGGATGTCTACAATTTCCTCATCGGCAAGGACACCTTGGCGTCTGTAGCGGACGTAATACAACACTGCCGCACGTTTGAGACACTGAAGGCTAGGCGCATCACTCCCAAATTTGGTAGACTTGCCAACGTCACCACCGTTGCAAGTGTCGACGTCCCTCCAACATCCCCCTGTGATCTTGCCTCAATGATCAGGCAAATCGTACGCGAAGAACTTGGACGACGTGATGCTGTCAACCCGCCGAGAGCACCTGCTATCAACACCTCCCCGCCATACGACGCAATGTGTGCTGCCGTTGATGCCACGCTATATGATGTGCCCCAATCAAGAGCACCAGAGCCCCCAACCGACAACTTACATCATCGCCGTGGTTTCCAGAACGCGTCCCGCCAACCACCTACAATGGTGTCTTCGTGGGACGATCATGCGCACATGGCGCCTCGTGGAAGGTTTGGCGACGTGCGTGAGGCCCCTGTGTGCTATAACTGCGGTTTCCGTGGACATGTGGCTCGATTCTGTGGTCAAAGGCGTCGCCCCCAGCAACGCTACTACGAGGGACCATCACCGTCTTCTCGACAAAACCGCTGGCGCGGTGGTATGCGTTCAATGCGGGACGCGTACGATGGGGACGGTTTCCAGCAAACGATCCACAGTGATACGCATGTAGGACGCAATTTCCACCGGAATTTACGCAACGACTCGCCTTCCTCCGTGCGAAGCTTGACGCCCCCCACAACACGCCGGTTCCGTTCCCCATCTCCTGGTCGACGCGTCACCTCCCCGCCTCCGGGAAACTAGGTGGTGCGGCCAATGGAGGTGAGGTCGCCGAACATTTGTCACTACATCCGCCTATGCCTCCACCCGTTTTTATGACTCAAAATAGGGTCCCCGTGCTTATTGATGGACTTCCTACGATGGCTTTGATAGATACTGGAGCAGCTGTTTCAGTAATGAGTCTTAACTTCAAATTGCGGCTAGGACATAAAGTGATGTTTCGCTGGGACAGTTGTGCATCATTTCGTGCAGTGAGCGGGGAGACATTGTGCCCGATCGGTGTGTGTGTTGTTAGTGTCACTTTGGGTGACAAGGTCTTCGAGGCTGAATTCGCCGTCCTGACAAGCTCCACCCATGACATCATCTTGGGCATCGATTTTCTACGCGAGTGCGGGGCTACCGTAGATTGCGGTGCTGGCGAGATTATGCTATCGGCATTTACTGACGATCCTAGGTGTTGTCAAGGATCTATCACCGTCATTGAGGATGTTGTCTTGCCGCCCAACTCGATGAAGACCGTACGCGTTGACGCCTCTGCCTCGGACGCCGGAAAGTTTGATGTTCTTGTGGAGCCCATTCCTCGTAATTGCGCCAAGAAAAATGTGCTCATTCCACATTGTGTTCTGTCGATCAGTGATGGGCGATCGGCCTTATGGGTGTCGAACTATTCAAATGAACCTGTTATGCTACCCGGCGGAATGCGACTCGCCCGCTTCGAACAAAATGTGACTAGTTTCATTGCATCTTTAAGTGACGAGAGAGTAGATCCTATTTGTGCAACGTACCATACAGAAGCCAACTTTCTGAGTATGGTAAACAAGTCGCTAACATCAGAAAAACGTCAAGCTTTGGTCGAAGTCCTTGCGAAGCACGCTACTATATTTGACTTTGCGCAGAAAAAAGAGCAAATAAGTGTACCCGAGTGGCGTACTGACCATGGGATTGACACAGGATCCGCTCACCCTATCCGGCAGAAACCATACCGTGTCTCATCTGCGGAGCGCAAGGTCATTACTCAACAGGTAGAAGAGATGTTAAAGAAAAGGGTTATTCAAGAGTCGTGTAGCCCTTGGGCTGCCCCTGTGATTCTTGTCCGAAAGAAGGATGGTACATGGCGATTCTGCGTGGATTACAGACGGCTCAACTCTGTTACTAAAAAGGATGTCTACCCGCTTCCCAGGATTGATGATGTCATCGATTGTTTACATTCGGCATCGTACTTCTCATCCGTGGATTTGAGATCTGGTTATTGGCAAATACCCATGCACCCGAATGACAAAAAGAAAACGGCCTTCATAACCCCAGATGGCCTATTTGAATTCAATGTAATGCCGTTTGGCCTATGCAACGCTCCAGCCACATTTGAGCGCTTCATGGACTCTGTGTTACGTGGATTAAAGTGGGAAGTTTGTCTTTGCTACCTGGATGACATTATAATATTTGGCCGTACATTCGATGAACACAACCATCGTCTAGACATTGTTCTCACCTGCCTTGAGAGAGCTAAGCTCACCCTGATTTCTAAGAAGTGTCACTTTGGCAGCCGCGAGACTCTCGTTCTCGGTCACCTGGTGGACAAGCATGGCGTTCGACCCGACCCCCAGAAAGTCGCAGCAGTCAGCAGCTTCAAACAACCTCAGTCGGTACGAGAGTTGCGAAGCTTTTTGGGCCTATGCTCGTACTTCCCTCGCTTCGTGCCCAGGTTCGCCGACCTCGCTTACCCTTTGACGTCCCTACTCAACAAGAACGCTCCTTTTCGGTGGTCAGCGGAATGCGAGTCGTCTTTTTCGCAACTCAAGTTTGCTCTTACGTCAGGACCCGTACTTCGCCACTATGACCCATCTGCTGCCACAGAAGTTCATACCGACGCCAGTGGTATAGGTATTGGCGCCGTATTGGTCCAACGCCATGGAGCTGCTGAACACGTCGTTGCCTATGCCAGTCGCTGTTTAAGTAAGCCGGAGCGAAACTATACTGTCACAGAGCAGGAATGTCTCGCGGTCATATTCGCCGTGCACAAGTTTCGCCCTTATATCTATGGCCGCCGATTCTCGATTGTCACGGACCACCATTCTTTATGTTGGCTCACTGGACTACGGGACCCATCTGGTCGTCTTGCTCGTTGGGCATTACGATTGCAAGAACACGACTTTGAAGTCTGCTACAAGAGCGGTCGTCGTCATGCCGACGCTGATTGCCTTTCACGACTTCCCCTTCCGACAACCGAGTGTGACGCTGACAACTTTGATGAATATTTGGCTGTAGTGGATACTCCGTTCCCCGACCTAACAACTTTTCGAGCAGAGCAACGCAATGACAACAGTCTCGCTTCTTTCTTTATTTCCGGAACGAACGGTCAACGTGGTTTCGTCGTAAAGGATGGCGTTCTCTACAAAAAGAATTATTCCGGCGTAGGCCCTCGCCTACTTCTAGTTGTGCCTACAAGTCTTCGACAACACGTACTTCGAGCAATGCACGACGACCCAACATCTGGCCATATGGGTTTTTCTAGGACATTTTATCGCACGCAAGAACGCTTCTTCTGGCCGAAGATGCGTAAAAGTGTGACTGCATACGTTGCGAGCTGTGAGCAATGTCAACGCCACAAGCGTCCTACAACTCCGCCAGCCGGACTACTTCATCCCATAGCACCCCCGAGTTCACCATTTGACGTCGTAGGTGTCGACCTGCTCGGCCCTTTTCCGCGATCAACGAACGGCAACCGATGGATTATTGTGGGCGTTGACCACCTCACACGTTACGCCGAAACTGCGGCGATTCCTGCGGCAACGGCCACTCAAGTTTCACAGTTCATGCTGTCACACGTTATATTACGCCATGGATCCCCCCGTGTCATCATCAGTGATCGCGGGCGGCAATTTGTTGCCGATGTAGTTGAAGACCTCCTTCGTCTTGCTTCGTGCCATTTTCGTCACACTACCCCGTATCACCCGCAGGCTAATGGTTTGACGGAACGAACAAATAGGACTCTCGTCAACATGATTTCCATGTATGTTGATTCTGGACACAAAACATGGGACGCGATTTTGCCATTTATAACTTTCGCCTACAACACGGCACAGCACGAAACAACGAGATACAGTCCATTTTATCTGCTCTACGCACGCCAACCCCGCACAGCTCTTGACACTATTCTTCCTTTTTCCGAGACTGATCAACCTACTCTCGCCGAAACTATTTGCCGCGCAGAAGAGGCCCGGTGCATCGCCTGTCTTCGAACTTTCGTCTCACAGAAACGCTCCAAAAACCGTTACGACAGAAGTCACCGGCACGTATGGTTTGAGAAAGGGGATTTGGTGTGGCTTTGGACGCCGCTTCGCAAGAGCGGCCTCTGCCAAAAGTTTCTGGCCAACTACACCGGTCCGTTTGTTGTCTTGGAACGTCTAAGCGATGTCACGTACGTGATATCTCAGCTGTTGTCAACTGGCCGCCGCTCAAGCAAGACCAACGTCGTTCATGTTGCCCGTTTAAAACGCTATCATCATCGCAACGAAGCCTAACTCGCCCGGTGGGCATCGTCTGCAAAGGGGGAATTGCTACGATACTGAGGATGCGCGTGGAAGAAGAGGAGAACGAGGTTGGCACGAGCAGTGATCAGCCAGATCCCTGGACTCTCGCATTGATCATCTCCTGTAAATAAAGGCATCCATCGCACCGTAACAATATATATATATATATATATATATATATATATATATATATATATATATATATATATATATATATATGTGTGTGTGTGTGTGTGTGTGTGTGTGTGTGTGTGTGTTATAAGCCACAAAGTAATTTCGGAAAACATTTTCTCACGAGGAAAATCAACCGGGTGACCTCTCGCTCCACATCGCGCGGAATTAGCCACTGAGCCACTATATATAAACCATTTACTTCTGGCGCTAGGCCGATCTCGGGGGGAATAGTGTGTTCTCAGCTCTTCAGACGAGATGGCGTGAAGGACGCGATCTGCGGCCCACTCGTGTACTTTGCCCTATGTGTATGCATCCTGAACCTGTGCGTATACGTTTCATGCGTCCTTTGTGCTTGAGCAGCGCATTGACTGTTGAGCTGTGGAAGTTGCTACCTCGCACTAGTCCTGCGTGTGAGCTTTTCGCGTATTATTTTTATAGCAGTGATCAGCCCTATTCCAGTGTTCTTTCACATTGCTCTGCCGCATTGCAGATTTTTTTTTTGCTATCACGTTCATTGCTTCGCTTTTGCAGCGAAACTATCAATTTTTGACGATAGTGCTTGTTTGACTATAGCTTGAACTTTTGAGTATTTCAATGATGTTATAAAGCTTGTGTTGGCCTAGTAATTTCCATATTTTGCTGCAACTGCTAGTAGCTTTGCATACAAATTAGTGGTCTCTAGTTTTATACTTAGTGCTGTGTAAAATTTTTATGGACGTACGTTGATATATATGCGAGTAAAAATATTCAGTCGTATTTTCTCTTCGTCTCCTTCCAAAGTTTCGAGACAACTTCGACGACGATAGCCTTCATGGCCTACGTTCTAGCAAAGTACCAAGATGTCCAAGAAAAGGTCAGAACGGAAGTCACCGAAGCACTTGAGAAATATGTGAGTGTTTTCTTTGCTCAAAACACGTGTTTGTATAGAACATGTTTTAGCTTATTCTTTTAAATTGTTTTACAAATAAAAAAGCTAAACAAAATGCAATGATCTAAAATTTAAGCGCTACACAAGATGTTGGGCAAAATCGCTACATCTGCATTGATCAGCTGAAGTGCCCAAAAAAAACTGTTCAAAACATTATTGCGCTGTACGAAAATCGATTCCTTCAACTTCATTTGACCATTGGCTCTGCAAGCTTTTACGATACGATAGCATGAATTATGTAAGGCTGTACTTGAACCTAGAATGACACGAGGACTCATCTTGTTAAATTTAGCAACATCGTCTTTCTCGTTGCAGGGAAAGTTGAATTACGAGGCTGTCATGCAAAATATGAAGTACTTAAGAAGCGTTCTGGATGAAACACTAAGGATCTACCCCCCAAGCACTTTGTAAGTACATAAAAAATGTACGATGGTAAGCTGTACTCGTTAGCGCATCATTATAGTGGTAACAAACAGTTATTAACACCATAACTGTTGTTTCTTGAGCAGCCTGTCTGTATAAACTTTGCTGTTATGTCTTAAGAGCTCTATATTACTGTTCATTTAGATGTAATACTCTAGAAACAGCGTCTAACACTAAAAAACTGTCTCTAATGTATACTCACCACTGCCTTACGGTTCTAATTGAGCGACATTCTTTTCTGGGCTGACTACACAAATGCGGAACAATTGCTTCACCTGTATAAATTACCGCTTCTTTGTCTCTTCGGAGAAATAACGATGTACCTATGCACGGACTTATGCAATCTTGTAACAATTTTTATGGCTATTTCTACCGCTCTCCAGAAAGATGGTTCCCCTCACCTTCAGTTGCATGTACCTTCAAGTATGCGTAAAAGAAATGTTTGGTCTTTGATGCGATTTTTCATAATTACACTCGCATTAGGAACTGAAGGGAGAAATACAAACTCCTTACTTTGGTGCTATCTCTGTAAGCGCTTCATCAGTGTTCAAGTTTTCATTGCATTGCGTCATATACTACATTACTTTCCTAGCTGTCAGCTGAGTGCTATGCTGATGCGACGGGAGCTTCGATCTCCGAGAACAAAAAAAAAAAAACTCCCAAGCATTTCCCCGAGGGTGAACATGGTTAAGTGCGAATGTACGGGGTGATGCTATGAGGGCTATTTATTAATTCGCACTATTTTATTTATTATTCACACTATGGTGCCTTTATGGTGTAATGGTTCCTGGGAATCGCAATTCGATCACACGGGAGAGTTTACGTTAACTCACTGGCGAATGCCAACGAACTTTAACTTTACTCCCCCTCATAACATGCGAGCCCCGGACGAGCAAAGTCCAGGGCTCGCACCCTCCCCCGCGCGGCACGTTCACTGGCTCGAACGGCTTCGGGAACGTTCACTCGCCGTTGACGATTGCGAGCGGCGTCTTGACGCCGGCCTTCATCGCCCTTCTCCGCCTGACGCTTGCGTTGTCGTTCCGCTTCTTGGGCCGCGTTCGCGGCTCGATGCTGACGCCTCATCTCGGCCTCGCGAGCGCGCAGTTCACCGTCCGCCGCACGCTTCGCCCGCTTGCACTCGGCCTCGCGAGCACGCAGTTCGGCATCCGCTGCACGCTTCGCTGCACGTTCGGTCTCACGAGCCCTTCGCAGCGCCGCCTTGTCTTCCAACGTCGGCAAAACCACCGTGGTACCGTCCCTCCAACGACGGGTGCAGTGCTGGCATTCGGTTGTACTGCATTCGTTGTTGATGGTAGCGTTGCCTCCGGGACATCCATCGCACGACCCGCTCTCGACGGGAGACTGAGAGAGAAGGCGGGCACGCGAGAGAGAGGGGTGCGGGCGCAGCTGCAGCGAGCGAGGAGAGCGGAGGAGCGAGCGAAGGGCGATATCAGCGTCGCGTCCGTGGCTTATTCGGTAGAGCGTCGCGCTGCGGCCCGCCAAGTCCTCTTTCTTTTAAAAATAGAGAGAAGACTGCGGACGCCGCCGACGGCGGTGGATGGTTTGGGGTCGCTTATAAAGTGTATTCACACTGAATACAAAAGGGATCGCAAATTGTGTTGACCTCCAGTTACATATGAACTTCCTGTGTTCATTGGTAACACTGCTGCACTGGTCACCATTTCTCCGAACAACAAAAATAGCCTCTCTCTATACAAACTCTTCTTGGTATTTGAATCTCGTCTTGAGAACTTAATTTTCAAAGCAGGCTGTTTGGAATGGGAAAAGCAACAGAAATTGATCGGGACGATGCTTATGGCAGGTGCTTCACCTCAGAATAGTCTAAATCAATGCGGCTTTTTTTGAACACTTCCTTTTAAATTGAAATGGCTCCGCATTTGTTTCGGTGGTTTAGTGTAGTATATTCTCGGCACACCGTCGTAGTGTTGTGCTTGGTCTGAAACAGAGTGCCACTCTTTGACCCAATACAGCATAGCCTTACAAAATGCTCACTTGCAGGGCAGAGAAAGTGTGACCGCTGAAACTAGTTTGGTTATTTGTGCGAAATTTAGCCAACGTGCTGAGTTCTTTGCGCTGATTTCAAATATTATTGTAAAGTTTAGTATTGTAGCAGTGTGTATAATAATAAGGTTGCCTTGTGAATCTAATGCAACATCTGAAATTTCAAATATTCCCGTGCGCCTGTTTAAGCTGACACGTTTGACAGCTTGAAACTAGTGTACTGTTTTTAAAATATTGCGTTTCTTCTACCTCAAATAACCGTTTTTTAAGGAGTGCGTACGTAAAATCAAAAAATGTCTGTTTACCTTGAGAATAGAGGAAAGACTACTCAATTGCTAATGTTTGACCAATAATTGTTTATCTTAAAACAGGGCTTAATTCGTGACATTAATTGTATATTAGCGCAGAGCTCTCGCACGGTCGTTGGCGAGCAGAAATGTTGTCCCATAAAGCAATCAATATATGTGCAATGGTCTCGCTTGTTCAAAGTTTACTTCGCATCACGTGATAACTTGCTATGTCATGAAGAAGAAGTACTCGGTTGCCAATGAAGAAAATATACCACCACTATCCGTAACGAGCCCAATTATAGCAATATAATTGCTCAAGAAATATAACGAACAACGAAAAATCTGTTGTACCTAAAGGCGTCGAAAATAAATGACTTTGCTATAAGGAAGTGCGTAAAACGATTAGAAAATTTATTTGAACCAAGACTTAGCTGCAATATGCAATATCATAAAATTATGAAATGAATGAGCCTCAAAATGTAGATCGGCGAAATGACTAATAAGTAATGACTAAATGGATAGATATACAAAATGTCCATATGAATACAGAAAATGGCTAAAAGTGACCGACAAACAAAGCTCATATTATGAATGTGTGTGGCACTCTTCTTATATTTTCGCATGTGATCTCTACAAAACACTTATGCCTTCATTCTATTTTCTCTTCAGGTTTACCACAAGGCGTGCTATCAAAGATTTCGAATATAATGGCGTCAGGTACAAGGCCGGTACTTCGATCATGGCTCCGACGATGAATATACACATGGACCATCGCTACTGGCCTAAACCCCACAAGTTTGACCCCGAGAGGTACGAGTGTCGAGCAGCAACATTCAAAGGCACTGAGCACGTTGCGGGCTTATGTTGGGTAGCGGTGATGGTTGTCTGCGCAGCTTACCCTGTAATTACACATTCGATTCTAACCGTGGCTGACACAACTGATAAACTCTATAGATTGCAGTTAGCTTGGATTTAGAAACACTTTGAAAGCCCTTTACGTCAGAACTAAACCAGTGTGGTACATCATAGTTGGTGTGGCTCTCAACGTTTCTTTTTCTGAGACTTTGACAGAAATTTAATTTGAATTAAGAAGGCACCAGCAGATTAAGAAGGCATCAGCACCATCAGCATTACAAGACGGAAAAAAACACGAAATAAGAAAGTTTCGATAAGACAATCTTACAAATTTTTACGGTGTACTTCTTGCTTGATGTTTGAGAAAATGTGTTAGGTTTATTCATTTCCAATGCGAAGTATTTCTTCGCGTACTTCGGCGACATTGAGCGTATCTATCTATCTATCTATCTATCTATCTATCTATCTATCTATCTATCTATCTATCTATCTATCTATCTATCTATCTATCTATCTATCTATCTATTCATCTATCTATCTATCTATCTATCTATCTATCTATCTATCTATCTATCTATCTATCTATCTATCTATCTATCTAGCCGCCTACGACAGTTAACTCTCATGGCCATTTCGATAATGGTATCATTATCAAATTTGGTATGGCATAACATGACTGTATGGCAAACATAATTTACTAGTCATAACTTGAAAATCATGATACGTATGTCATGAATGTCACGTTTTACTGGTCTTACTGCTCTTGCGGTGGTTACATTCATATTACATAGTTGGTATGGCATGACATGGCTGCGTGGCGAACACAAACGACAGTCTCAAACGTGCAAATCATGACGTACAGTCATGTAGGTTATGACTACACACCAAGCTCATGGTGCGCCTGTAGTCGTTTTGCTAGCTTCACATATACCAAATCTAGCATTACGTGACGCGAACGCACGACGAAGGTAAATGACACGTCCAAAGATGATTATCGGGACATGCGTGTCAAGTCAAACACGACTACATAGTGCGCTCATAGTGCCCTCGTGGTCGTTTCACTAGCTTCACATTTACCAAATTTGTTGTTACGTGACGTCAATGGATGATGAAGGTATATGACTGGTGCAAACATGATAGTCATGACAAGCGTGTCATGTAAAAACATCACATTTATGCCCATGATGCGCTCGCGGCTTTTTTGCCAACTTCACATGTACCAAATTTCCTATTACGTGACGTGGTTAGATGATGAAGGTAAATGACGCATTAAAATATGATAGTCACGGCATGAAAGTCATGTACGGAATAATTTACCTCCACTTTGTAACGTTGTACTGATTTTAAAGTGGCATGTCAAGCTTCCTGATTCGTGTTTCGCATCTCATATCATCGATTCCCACTGTACGTGGGATCTGGCAAGTTTTGTTATCGTACACGTATATTTTTTTACTAGTGTAGGCATAAATGCCGCCATACTTGAACCACTCCAATGGGCTCTGGTTTGCTGTTCGCTGTTTCGTGACATCTGCTTTCTTGGCTTCTTTTTTGTCTTCAGTCTGGTACACGTGTTTTTTTTTTGCTCAGCATAATAAAACACCGATACGTTTTGTTGCATCTCATTCAAATTTGTTTTTTAGAATATTTTTAAGCACATTCAATACATAGCTCAGCAAACTTTTACTCTTCATCAATGCCTATTATTTTTCTGTTTATGCAGGTTTCTCGGCGAAAACGTGGCCTCCCGGGCATCCATCGCTTACCAACCTTTTGGTGTTGGACCGAGAAGCTGCATAGGAGAACGCCTCGCCATCTTAGCTGTTATGTATACAGTGGCAAGAATGGTTCGAAACTACAAAATGAGCCTTGGAGAGTCTCAGCAGGTATGAGAATACTTCGTGTTCGAGCTTCATCGCTGATTTACAAAGATTATGAGTTCCCAGGTGCAAATTACACACAAAAAAAATATGGAACAAATGCCGAAATTTGCACTGAGCCGCAAAAGACTTCAAACAGTGAAACTGGACAATTTTGAGCTTGCTTCTATAGGCTATCTCTAGGACTTACTTAGATTATGGAGGTAGTTTCTTGGTTGGTTATACGTCGTTGCTGGGATTATAAGCTAGGTGATGCTAGGTTTTTCAACGTTGAGGCTCAGCGCCGAGAAGTTAGAGTTAAGGACACGTCAAGGACGTTAAAGCACCAGAGACAGAAACCCATGCTGAACCAAGCGTTCAAAATTTTCATAGATTTATAGTCGTGTTGCCATTTACGCATCAGTTCGGAATGTACTCGCCGCCGCCATTGGCTTTCCTGAGTCTCTGGTTGCACGCAGTCAGGTTCTTTGCTACCTGCCATCGCTTCACCGCAATTTGATGGCCTGAGTGCTGAGTTTTTCAGTTTCTTCAACCAGCCGTTAATAGTGGAATCTTGCGGATTTCCTTGCCACACACCAATTCACGAGGATGATGACGGTTCTGTGACAGGACGCACACACAGATAACGACTAGCTTACACGGCTTCGCTGTTCGAAGAAGTGCACGTGTCAGCATTCATGTGACCTTTCAACTTTGTGGAGGTTTCTTTGCTTGGATGCACAAGCAGCGCTTTAAATTGTTTTTATGTTGTTAGCAGTAACGCATCGTGGAGATTTTCCTTGGCAGTGGGACATAAGTTCCAGTGAATATGACGTGATTCCGCTGCCTGCTTCTGTCTGTTAGCGAGGGAGACTTGCTTTACGCCACCTCTTAGTTCACCGCAGCGAATTCCTAGGGCCTGAAGTCTATAGGTGCCCTTCATTTTCGTTTATCGGCAGTAAAGAAAATGTGCTCAAATACATCGAATTTCAGTGTGTTTCAATTTCTACGTGCATTTTATTGCGATGGCGTTCAAGCTCTCGTCCCGGTAAAATTCAGATGTCAGCGTCATTCTTTGGGAACAAAAAATCTGCGTAGTTCATGAGCGAAATTGTGATAGAGAACATTATGGTTATGTACTGATCTGTCGACGTTTGTAATAAGTAATTGGTCACAGATTCCGTGGGAGTGGGAATTAAACCAAAGCCTTCTGCGTGGAAAGTAGGTGCTGCACCCCGCAGCCACTCTAATGTGCTTAGAACTGCTTAAAAAAACTCTAAGTGCATGTTCAGCTATTTGCCGAGTCCTGTTAGCGTATGTCATGTAACGTGGCGAAAGTGTAGAGTCACACCAAGTGTCAAAACATGTGAATTGGTTACGAGGTTCACGTTTCACGTCATAAACACGCAGCAAATGTTTCGCTGATTCGCAGAGGGATATACATTCCATACTAACTACTTTGCAACTTTATTTGCAGTAGACCTCTTAGGCCACTTTTATACTTTCAATGTTGCTCTAACAGACGTTCCATTTCTCATGACACGATTGAGGCGTGTACAAAAAGACGAAGCAAGGCTGATTCGGATTGTGATTCGTACGTTGCACTTTCGAGGCGAAATTTAAGCATTTTTCAAATTTTCTACCCACCACTACGAATTATGCCAGGTCTTATAATAAACAGTTTTGTTCACAAGAAGGCTGAACAGTAAGCGAATGACAGAGAGAGAGAGCAAATATTTAATGCATAAAGGCTTGTTACTGAAGGTAGGCGAGTCCCTCATTCCAGGAACCCTCTGGCCAGGACCGTGCACCGGAATTCAGCAACGAGTTGAGTTTACACTCGTCGACCAGGTCCAGTTAGGAGATCACAGCCTCCGACGCGTCACATGACTTGCTGCTGCTAGAAGCGCTGGGATTTCTGCTTCACGCTGCAGTACCAGCTGTGCCAGAGTGTCTGCCTCACTGTGTAGTGTGAGCAGATGTAGCTGTATAACGTTTATTTCGCATGACGCAATATAATGCTGTAAGCATGGAAAACAAGTGTATGACACACCTGTTAGGCGATAGGACTGAGGTGAGAGTATATTAAAGAGGAGAACAATTGCCGTTGTTCGTGAGATAAAACGCATTCGGAGGCAGGTAGATTGCGCAGAAGTAGTCACCCATGGCTTTAACCAGCACTGGAAATAGGAGCGCGGGTATATTGCGGTCGATAGTGATAAAAAGAAACAAACGACAAAAACAAACCAACATCACTCTCCAAATGACTGAATTTCTTTTTTCCTAAAGGCCTGCAGGCTTCGCAAACTGGATTAGCAGGAGCAATGTATTTTGTGTAGGGCACCAGTGTGAACACAGGCTCTGAGTGTTTCAAGTGGACCATGAAGAATCGTCCAGTTTGGCCGACACTTTTGTGCATCACATACCTTCGAGTGATTTAGAGTGCGAAGACACATCATGTACGCCCATCTTTTCATAGCCCCAGGCGTCACTTCATGCGACTCTGTCGGCCACTCAAGCAAGAAAATCATGTGAGCTGAGCATTGGCACACAGAGGTACGCGTGAATTGAAAGCATAACTTTGCACGGCTATTTCGTAAACATTTTCACGCTCTCACATATCACACTAATGGTATCCGGGCCACCGTCGAGTGACAGTCGTGTGGCATATGGAATAGTAAACTATTCCCAATATTTTTTTTCTATATTTTACACCGCTACGTAACAGGGCTAAATTGAACTGAAATTGTGCATCATGTTCTCTCACTGTTGCAAGCCGAATACGTACGCGCAGGTCTTGTGAAACCGAAGTAAACTACACATCTCCACGATATAAGAAACGCACATTCATGACCGGTGACTGTGAAATGCTCATTTGGCACTCGTACTTTTCGACCGCGTTTAATACACGCCATTGTACGTCACACGTGGAACTGCCAATACGCTAACATCAGTGATAAACGGAGGCGTTCGTAAAATTTTTCTTTGTGATTTCTGTTACATAAAAAGTGAGCGGATAAAATGCATACTGCTTTTATTAACATACTCCTCACCCCCCGCCAAAAAAAAATGCGATTTTATATTCGGCGCTCTTTGCCCTTAGTCGGCCTTGCGCCATTAAACTCTAAACAACAACAACAACGATTTTATATTGGCACTGTTCGATTCGTCCATACCTCCATAACGTCGCAACACTATATTACGACAGCCAACTACAACAATTATAAATCAAACTTTGCGGGTTCACTACTCTTGAAGCCCGAAAAACAAAGTTTCCGCTAGTCGTGCTGCAAGATAGGTAAATTCGGTATTTTGTTAATTAACACACTGAACAGACCCTCAATGTCACACCAGCTCCTTATGACATCCAATAACATCGAATATCACCATCAAGTGACCGGCGCCTAATTCACACCGAAAAAAAAGAATAAATAAGGCTTTCAAAAGATTGTCCTGGCACGTCCATCAATTAAAATGTGTCTTTTGTTGCAAACGTTTCAGGGTGACCTCGAGCGCCGATATTATGCCGCGATGGCTGCACCAAAAAACGGTCCATACATCAAGTTTCAAAGAATCTGATGACCAGTTATCTTCAGATATATCAGGTACATAGCCTGGACGTTATGAGGGGCACCTAATAAATGCCCCGGAGTTACATTGATGATGCTGATCAAAATGTTTTTTTGTTTTTTTTTCAAGGCGACGTACTTCAGAGACACTGCAAGAGTATCTACTGCCCTAAAAACTAAAGAGGACATTTTCAACAAGCACAATAATAAAATAAGGCGTTATCACTGACTCCAGTCGTAAGTCATTTTTATAAGGTGCTTTTAGAGGTGAATCTCCTTATGGCGTGGCTTGTGCGTCCTTCGTTGTAGATGCGTAACCTGTGACACATACCCGCCCTCGGACACATGTCCGCATGTCCACGTGTTACGACAACAATAGCACGGCATGGTTATTATGCTCTCGCTGTTATCAAAGCGCTGACAGCATACGTGTGGTACATACGCTCGTTTAGTCCTTGGACTGTCCGCTGGATGGCGGTACTTGTATAAATATATAGATAAAAAAAAGCGAGATGATGGTACTTGAATTCACTAGATGGACAGATGGATGCATGAACGGATGCACGAACGGGCGCACGAACAAACCCACGTACGGAATCACGTACGGAAGCGTGGACGGATTGACGAACGCTTCGCCCCACTCATCATCATTCATTCCGTGGATACGCTGTGATATTTTGTGGTTGTTCAATTCACCATACTACAATGGGACTTCGAGCTTCGTCCGATAACGTGTGGGCGTTTATCAGGACTTTATTTCACTTGTAAATTTCATTATTCTACACCACCCCATTTTTCAAAACACCTCCATGCTCAGAGGTAGCACAAGGGGTTGGAAGAAACAGCAAAATAATGTGAGAAGATGAGTCGAAGGCCACAGTTCCACTGAGGACCTTACTGAGCAGACATATGCAAAGCCTTGTAAAAAGGTGTTGTCCCCTGTAAGGAACGCAAAGACAACTCTGCTAATAAGGTACTTTATAAATATACGAAATAGTACAAGCAATAGATGTCCACTTGAATGAAGTATTTTTTATTGAGGTAAAAAAGAAAGCGCCTTAACAAAAGTAACAAATGCAGCTCACATATTAAAAGGTATCTTTATCAATACTGTAATTAAACAACAGGCATTTCACTTTTTCGATATGCCACACACATTCCGGACACCTCCCCCCCCCCCTCCACTCTAAAAGACTTTATGCTAATCACCCAGCTTTAGAAAAAGCACTTTTAAACCAGGGGACACTTTATCAAAATGTCACAATATTAATTGTTGTGTTTAACCCTATACTGCATGGTGTCTCATGCTTGCATATACAAATAGACGTGTTTTTTGTGGGTGCAAGAGATCCAGTCGGAAAGTTGACACAATCATTATGATTTCATAGTCCGCCCCTAGTGAAATAAATTTCTGTAGTATAATTTTTTTAGAGTTCACACTAAATATAATGAAAGTCCTTTCGTAGAGCAGTATGACGAACATGTATAAAATAGCCAGTGAATGTGCAAGTATGGGATGTCAACAACAATGATTTATATTTTATCTCGCAACGTTTCTTTGGCTACAGGAAAAAAGTCTGAAAAAAAAATTATTTCCTCATATCCCGTGGCATTGAGAACGTACGATCGTTATGACATTTTGCAATTCTTTTTAACGCAAATATATACTGCCGTAACTCCATATGGAACACATTTGGCACGCCATGCACTTCTGGGAGGAAATGTACTGTACAATATGCTGCCATGTATATTGTGTGAACAAATCTCAGCCTATGAGCTCATGCAGCCCAGCTTAGTTATGCAGAATTTAGGTATAGGTGGTGCGTCTTGAAAGGCTTCACAAAACACTGAGGTACTAGCAGTAGCTCCAGGCAGTGAAGTGTGATTTTTTAATAAAAACAGCAGGAAAAGAATGATGGAAGCTTGCAATGAAAATATATTTAACAAAGGCTGCATGTTCAAGCCTACTTTTCGACAAGTTGACTAGTCTTCTTCAAGCGTCAATGTTCTTCCCTTACATTTTATATAAATCGCATGCAACTTTGCGTACTTCAGTAAAACTTCTGATCCGCAAGAAACAGAAAATATACAGAATGAAGGGGAAAATTGAAATAATATGGTTTCATTTTCCTTGACGAAAACTACATGATAATTTTTTGACCCAGAGATGAGCGACCTTCGTGCAACCTGTGGTAAGGAATGAAAGCAGAACCTAAGAAAAATTAAGATACGCCACTAAAATGTCATCAGTTTTGTAGCTTTATTGTAGAAAAAAGGAAAATAGCTCTGCAGGAATGTGCTGAGTTCAATGTGACATCCGCCTTCGCCAGCGTTGCGGGCGTCAAGGTGTTATCGCAATGCTACTGCGGATAAGTATTGCCGAGCTGGTATTTCAATGGTTCATTTTTTGTTGAGTTTGTCGTGGGGACCTATATATCGATGAAATTCATTTTGAAAAGGTAGCTCTATTTTTCGCTATCGCTTGAAAGGTGTACGAAATGTTTAACTCAATAAAATCAGTCTTTTAGCTTGATCACTTGATCAGCCCAGAATAAACACCTGACGGGATAATACTCCCGATAAACTGATATGTTTGATTGAACATCCCAAAACCACCATATGATTATGAGAGACGCCATGGTTAAGCGCTCCGGAAATTTCGACCACCTGGGATTCTTTAACGTGCTTCTAAATCTGAGCACACCAGCCTACAGCATTTCCGCTTCCATCGGAAATGCAGCCGCCGCAGCTGGGAAATGATCCCATGACCTGCGGGTCAGCAGCCAAGTACCACAGCCACTCGACCACCGCGGCGGAGACCCGATAAGCCGTATTCCTTCATGAAGTCCCAGTGGTGAAATGCACGTACTTCTTTTAGATTTAACTGTACGCCCGAGGAACTCAACGTGCGCTCAAAAGAAGCCAAGGAAGAAGGTCGCTATATGATATCGGTTACGCATGGCACAAGTTGCCCAAACGAATCTCTCCTGTGAAAGAAGCTTGCACCCAATAATCAGTTGAATGCGCGAGATAGCGCACGTTCCAAAACGAATTCACAAAGGACCTCACTTCGATTCAGATCAAGCAAGTGGCAAGTTGCCATAACAAACCTCACCCATACGAAAGGCCTTCATCGAGCGTGTACGTCATAGCTGCCCCTGAAACTGTTTGCTCTACGATTGTGGTTGTGCTATCGCAGGTACAAATAGAGGTCAGAGCACGCCGAAATAGGGCAGAGCGATTCGATAAGCGTGCTTGTTTGTTTTTGGTTGGCGTATTTGGTTTTTTGGAACACTAGACTTCAGGCTTATCAGTGCTACAGAGTCACACACTCTTCAGATCTCGTCCTAGCGCCCGACGTATCAAGCGGACTGCCACCGACTATTTTGTGAGCGGAACTGTGGCAGCACTCACGTGGTGGGCTTCAGCCAATCTGGTTTTGTTTTATGTATAGTTGATCTCTGATAACTGTTCCTGTTTTAACGGGGTAGCGTTAGAGAGCTCGTGTCGCAGAAATTCCGCCGTCGGCGTCGGCGCTGTTGGTTGTGAGCGAAAAATAGTCTGTGCATGTGTGAGCGAAAAAGCAAACAGAGATTGCCGCAGGAGGCTGCTACTTGTCCACGCGTGCGCGCGCAGTCACATTGAAAAAGCCACACATTCGAAGAAAAAAAAGTGCTCAAGGTCACGAGGTGCGGGAGTTTCTTTGCCCCTACCGCCCCTCCCTGCTTAGCTTCCAGCGCTTTTCGTGGGGAGAAGAGAAGAGATACTGCAATTGCAACATGCGACAAACCTTTCTAACTCCACTAACTCTGGACGGATTCCTAAATATTTTGTGGCGTTGAATTCGTGAGGCAATAAGCTCTTCTAATGAATTCATTCAATGGTTACTTGAAAAAGTGTTCCAGGGCACCTTTAATGCGTTTTGTTCAACAGGCGTCACGACAAAAAAATTGCCCGCAGCTTCCCTCGGGGGAACACTGAGGAGGATGCGGAGCATATAATTGGTTAACGGGGTGTTAAAGTGCGACTTACTTGGGTCGATGGCTAAATTGGTTAACGTGGTTGTGAAATAAGGTGTTAAATTGCGACTTACTTGGGTCGATGGCTAAATTGGTTAACGTGGTTGTAGGAGGGGGTGTTAAATGAGTGAACACGTACACACGTATGCGAAAGGGCGGCGCTGGTCGAAGGGACGTCGATCATTGTGTTTGTGGATTCGTTGGAATTCATTTCACCGCGACCTTGGACGTCGACGCGCCGTACAAACCAACCGACGAGTGGCAACTGAGCGAGCGAGCGCCGACCTTGAGTAATATACAGCGCGATGGCGCATGCACTGTCAGCTGTCGAATGTTCGAGAAGGGGGAGAAGCGCAACGGCGCATGCGCGCGCGTCAGCTGCCGATGTTCTCGAAGCGCGACGGCGCATGCGCGCGCGTCTGCTGCCGATGTTCTCGAAGCGTGACGGTGCATGCGCGCTACATTATACAGCTAGCGAATGTTCGTGAAGAGGAGAAGCGCATGCGGTGTGTAGAGGAGGAAGGGTGCACAGATGGTGGAGGAGTGAAGCGCTCGCGGTGTGTAGAGGAGGAAGGGATGCACAGATGGCGGAAGAAGGAGGAGGAAGCTTGCGGACGGCGCCGCACTACAAGCCTCGAGTATTAGATGCTCCGCATCTAAAACGAGTCCGTTCGGCGATTTGTAGGCGCATTTGGGAAGCCACAAGTTACATCGAAAAAGGCTGGGATAGTGCAGCCATCACCGCTAAAAAAACACAGGAACTTTCAAACAGCTCTAAACATGGATCACTATGTCCATCTGGCGGAAAGCATATCATGCCTTTCCAGAGGCATTGATCAAGCAAACAGCAAACGCTAGATAACGTGCTGCTGTCTGTCATCCTTTATGAGACTCTTTATGACCTCCGAGATGGCGAGCGCGCAATGTGTATCTTCGAGGCCATGTGACTTTTGCTTTGCATCAAAAACCTGCTTGTACCATTCGCACACGTGCGCTGACACGATCTACTGTGTGCGTGTGTGTGCGTGTGCGTCCAT